GTTTTGAAGACCCTCCAGCGTTCGTCTCATTATTTCATCGATCACAAAGTTAAAAAGCAATGGAGAGAGTGGGCATCCCTGACGGACACCGCTTTGTGTATGAAAGCGTTTGGAGAGCTCTCCGTACACTCTCACACGTCCGGAGTTCTGAGAATACAAAGAACGTATTATGTTTACAAACTTCCAGGGCATTCCTTGGTGGGCAAGGGTCTCAAGAAGAACAGACGGTCAACCGAAGTACCTACCTTATTTCGTCTTCCGAAGGGCGATCAAGGTTTACATTCCATTCGCCCGTATGCATTTTCTCCACCGGCTGTGCTGCGGCATTTTTTCGCCCGTATGCATTTTCTCCACCGGCTGTGCTGCAGGAGGCATTTTTTCACTTATCGTTTCGCTGGCCGTTTCCTTCCTAGGGCCAGTCGATCGTATCAGTTGATAAAGGGCACGGCCGTTTCCCTAGCAAAAGCCTTCTCCATCTCCCGAGCTTTCGATATCCACCAGAGCTCTCGGTCTTTCCTTAGACTCTTCACTATTTGGCGTTTGAGGGATTTGCGTGCGCGGTCGTACTCGTTGCCTGCTGGTATGGCTTTCCTGGCATCAACCATGGATAACGACCTCGACGACTTTCAGTAGTCCTGTGGTCGAATTGGAGGAGTCGGGCAGGCAGCACTGAACGCTGCTAGCATAGCTCCTTTCACACTTTGCCATGCTTCATCCACATGCTCACTGCCACCAGAGTATTGTTTTACTGTGGAGAGTTGTTGGGCTAGCTCAGATTGATACTACTGAGCTATGGCAGTTCTTCGAAGATAGTGGATTGGCATGCTTCTTACCGACTTGCGAGGGCCTGAAGGGAAATGAACTGTCAAGCGTGCGCGCACCACGGCGTGATCGGAATCAAGTGGTGTACCCCAGAAAGAGCAGCAATCTTGAATTGTGGCTCTCCACCGGTGACTGATGGCCACGTGGTCCAACTGGGTCCACGGTTGATTTGTGCAGTAACAACACAAATGTGATGTTCCTCCAGAGTGTGCATCGCCGTGGTCGACTACAGTTAAATTCTTGCAGGTGCACCCTTCCGAGGTACATTAGTCCTTTACAGTGTATTTACGAAATTTAGGTAGCACTGATGAATGTAGATAGGAGAAATAAATAAATGTGGTTTTATTCCTTTGTTTTAAATACTACTCTGGAATAGAAATCGCATCCAACATTCTTTGCACCAAAAGTCCAGTGGTTGGCTTTTGTGATACTTAAGTTGTGTAATAGTTCCCTCAAAAGGGAGATTCGGCGATCGGGCAGGTGAAGACTGCGAAGCGTTTATTGGTTTATCGAATTTTACTTCTGATACTAGCCCATCTGGCACTGGAGGCCTCCGTATTCTACTGGTGAACTACATGCTTTCGACAGTGGTGCGCACTCACTGGCGTGAGCGTTGCAACCTGTAGAGCCAGCTGATAGTCTCTTTTTCTAGTGCGATCACCTGGAGTATTTTCATTATAGGTGGAAGCCGCTTTTCCCTCTTTTGAGCCATGATAATTGCTGGGTTGAGGTCAAATTTGAGAACAAAATGATACTTGTTTGTGCTGCGTACTGTCCAGAGTATCAATAAGTAGGGTAGTCACTGATCCTAACGTATGTTAATAGGGACAGAAATATGGTGCACTCATTCTCTCCATTTCGACTGCACTGCCTTGCCGTATTACGTTATCGTGGATTGCAGGTAGGTTGGACACACATACACAGGTATGATTGGCGGTGATCACTATCCATCAGTTCATGGCGTTTACGGTGTATGACACCCTGTGCTTATTGTCTAATCCATCGAAAAACCATTCTGTCTCCACCAGGACGAGTATGCCACAATCTTGAAAGTACCGCTCTTGGTAGTACTTTATGTTTCATCTGGGCGATTTCGCTATTTTTTGGGCAAATTTTCTTGGGAGCGGCGTTCTATGTCGCGCTCTAACCCTCTTCAGTCTAACACTTTTATTTAATTGATTTGGAAACGCTATTGACCTGTCTTTATAGGGTTTTTTGTCTTCCTCTAGTGGACTTTTTGACTTAGCATACTAAATTATATTCAGTACGAATTTTTGTCGGTGATTTATATGGTGGGCAGTTAGCTGTTCGCTTTACGTCACGAAATCGTGACTACCGGCTCCATGTATGTATGTTCATCACTGTTTTTTACTACCGTTGTGGCTGAGTTTCCTGTGTAGGGGAAAATTGGGCTTGCCTGGAATCAAAGGTTGCTGGTCAGGCCGATACCCATCTGGTCACGAGTGTAGTGACCGAAATCTGTCCACTCAGAACTTCTCCCAGGTGGTTCTGCCCAGGACCTGTCCAAGGTCATTCTACTGTGTACTGCACTCCAGGTTGGCCCGTGTCTTTTTATAGTGTAATTCGCTTACCCTATAGGCATGTGGTGCGGAATATGGGACGCACTTGGAACCGTGCCCCGTGTTACGGCGAGGTACGCGCCTGTTTGTAACGCTTCTATCCAGTATGTTCATGTTCAGTCGTGACATTAGAATTGTTTTCCCCCCACTAGATCCTCACGGACTTTTCCGTCCTCTACGCTCTCTGTATACCGTCTTATCCATTCGGTGTACTGATCTATAACTTCGTTTGCCACGTATAGAAAGCCACAATTGCTTTTATAACTGTTCCCCGACAGTCCTCCGAATATTACATTACTGGTCGTATGTTCGTATTTATGTTGTATCTAAACGGATCTGTTTTAGAACCGGACCCGTGATTACCTACCATCACATCCGCTATTCACCGCAATCCTTCTGTCTGTATCACCACCCAGATAAGGATATCTCTACCTATCTTTCTAACTTCGGGTCTGCGTGAGGTGGAGTAACAACGAAATGTGACTCTCTGTAGTCAGTCGTACTCTGGTTTCTACACTGAACCTATCTAATAGGTATCTTGTCTGGTCTAATGTTTATACGCGTGTCGGTCAGATGTTTAACAACAGGACTCAAGGGCAATTGTGACTTAGAAACAACATCTGGAAAGACGGAATTTATGGACCGCCGCAACTCTACTCTTCGGTTTTGTCGAGCGCAGATTGCATCGAAAAAGTTATTGTCTGGAACAAGCGGTATCTTGTTAGCTAAGCTTGAGTAAGGATATTATTTTCCTTTCAGCGGTCTTAGAGGGCTGTGCACTCTTTCGACAGTAACATACAGGAGATGTTTGAAAGTGAACTAGTGTGCTCTGGTTGACAAGCCAGAATTCTCTCTTTGCACAACAGTTTGGGCATTTCAGCTCCTCTTGTTCTTCACTTCAGATTCGCATGCAAGCACACACCGCCAATGCATCTGGTTCGCCTTCTCTGATCAAGCTGGGTGTGAAAGCGATTCGAGAGGAAGGAGCACGGTCTCTTTATAAGGTATGTTCTATTACAGGCCGTTTTGCTTTTCCTCGTGTAATCGTGTAACCACTCTGGATTATACCCTGCCTTATGCTTTGTGCGCTTGGATGTTTTAGCTGCTTTTTTGACACGAAGCGGCTCACCGAACTTGGTGGAATCAGTCCTCGTTATTTGGGTTGCAATACACGGAGATAAGTTACCGTGCAGTAGAGCCGGACGGTTGATCATTTTCGTGAAATCGTCTTCACACGATATTGGGAAGCCGACGATTCGCCTACTTTGATTGCATATCAGATGGTGAGTCACCGACTGCGCACATCTCGTACTTCCCTTTGGAGGGTTGAAATCAGCCAGAAAGATGAAATCAGTGAAACACTGGCTTCTAATGCCGGTAGTGCTTCGTCAGAGGACATTTTGACAGTTTGGATTTCTCAGATGATGGTTCGCTTGTTCACCAGACTTACTCATGCATTAATGTTGACACCTCTATTGTTTGTAGAACATTTGTAGCCTAATCAGCTTGCTCAACGTGCAAGCCAGTAATCATCAGTGATTGTTGACAGTTTTGCTGCGGCCAGTGGCGATGCTGATGCCGGCCAAAAATATCCTTTTCCACTCTCCCTTCATGTTTATTTCTTGAAACTCTGTGTTCTTGGTCTCACTATCAAACTACATTATAGATGGGTCACCACTGGAAGAAATTACAGGCATCCTTCGGTACGAAAGAATGCCGAACCGCCAGATGAAAAAAGTGTTCAAGCGTAGCGCCAACTCGGCACAATGGTGCGACGTAATTCTGAGGGAAACGAGGCTAGAAATACTACCAGGTTGCAAAGGCCGGGACACGGGTAATCTGGAAGTCATGGTGGGGGTTCGAACCTTGGATGTGAAAACATACTAACGACTATCCACGCAACATGCTATGGCAACGTTCTCTTTAGTAGCAAATGGCTTTGAGCGAACGAAGTGCTGCAAAGGTTCACGCTTCTTCGCATCGTCCGACAAGACTGCGGTAAATTTCTTGGCGATGATCGTTTGCTGTTCTGTACACCTTCGTCGTATTGATATTCCAATGCAGCAACTGTCTTAATTAGAAACTATATACGTACCGACTGGAACTCCAAGATATCTTGACAGATGTGGGATTTAAATGCAATGGGCGATTTTCAGCCCATTGCATGCCCAAAGCGTTGTTCAGCGCGAGATTGCTCAGTGGTTAGAGTGCGGATTTACTGACTTGTCCGTGGTTCGAACCCGACCTCTGCATCTCAACTTCCCCTGCCTAGGCTTGAACAACCTGGCAATATCCCAGCCCTCGTGTTCCCTCGGGTGACATGGCAGCTAGACACCGAAAGGGTGTTAGAGCTGAACAAAAGCGTTATTTACGTCTCAAAACACCTCAGCTTTTTAATGAAGCATATATAAAACACCCACTGGGACGCTTTAGGATCATTATTAGTGCTTCTTCTGAGTTGTGACAAGAACTACTAAAATATTAAGACAACTCAATATGCTGGAGCACAATTTCGCCGGTAGAGTTTTCTTCTTTGAACTTTCCCGTGAAAAATCTCAGAAACCTGAGCCTCTGTGGAAGGAGTCTTCCCTTCAAGGGGATTTAACTTTAGGTGTTTAAAAAGCTAGCAGTAAGTATACTGACGAGCAATTAATGCATGCAGTAGTCCAAGAAAAACTTACTCTGAATATGCCCAAACTTTCAAATCGCCAATATTCTTCATCCGTTAGAGTCATTTACCATCCTTTCAGAAGTTCTTTTTTGAATTCGTTGCAATCAACACAGTAGAGGGGAAATTTTGCTTTTCATTGACCACGTGATTATCGGTAGATGAGTGTGCATGGCGTTTGACGTCTTTGTGGGAAGCTTCTTCAGTTGAACTTCCCCGTCATTGCTCATGCAAAATCGCTCTTTCAGGGTTGTGAGTTTTGTGATCAACCTGAATTAAAGTGATCGGAGCTGGTGTGAACTGAGCAGGTAGCTGCTTCACCTTTCTCATTTTTGTCTGTCTTTATAGCCTTCCGGACATACCCCGAGAGTACTGAGACAGCGTGCCGTTGTGAAGCTTCTTGGTGTTTGATACCTGTTCACCTTCATATATATATATATATATATATATATATATATATATATATATATATATATATATATATATATATATATATATATATATATATATATATATATATATATATATATATATATATATATATATATATATATATATATATATATATATATATATATATATATATATATATATATATATATATATATATATATATATATATATATATATATATATATATATATATATATATATATATATATATATATATATATATATATATATATATATATATATATATATATATATATATATATATATATATATATATATATATATATATATATATATATATATATATATATATATATATATATATATATATATATATATATATATATATATATATATATATATATATATATATATATATATATATATATATATATATAT